TTATTATTATTATTATTATTATTATGTATTTATTTTTTTTATTTTTAAATAATTTTTTAATACATTTAAATAATGTAGACAACCTTCAGGGAACCACCAGGAAACATTCCCTGAATGTTTTCTTGACGTTTTTTATTATTATTATTATTATTAGTAGTAGTAGTAGTAGTAGTAGTAATAACAATAATAATAATATTCTTTAAAAATACATTTGAATAACATATAGACAACCTTTAGGGATCATTAACTGAAGGTTCTCTCAAGTTTTTATTTATTTATTTTTTATTTTATTTTATTCAACCTTCAGGGAACCACCAGGGAACATTCCCTGAATGTTATTACTATTATGATTATTATTATTATTATTATTAGTCATGAAACAGAGTAGTAGTAGTATAAGTAATAGTAGTGGTATTACAAACTTCAGGGAACTACAAGGGAACGTTCCCTGAATGTACTTTTAAGGCTTTAAAAAAACAACCTTCAAAGAACCTTTAGGGAACGCTTCCTGAAAGGTAATACCTGTCTGCTGGGTAGCCAAGACGTTTTGATGAAGAGCTCAAGAGAAGCAGGTTTGGGTGATAATCAGACATTAGCCTTTTACTTGAGGACATATTAATGTGTTTTGTATGCCTACATATTTTTCTTAAATTTAAAGATAACATAAAACAAGAGCAAATTCGCAGGCTCTGCCCATATAGGCCCATGCATCCAGGCATTCATGCACTCATGCACAACCAAAGCTTCAGCTTCAGCCTACACCTTTTCGGTCAATATGTACATATTACTGTGAACGAACCATGCATATTTTGAGATGTAAGACCAAAATAAATTCGTTCATTTAAACAGCTACCTTAAAGATATGCTCCATGTGCCATTTGCTATATGTGCCATTGAAAAGGCAAACCCATCTCCATTATATTTTTCTTCTCTTTTCCTTAAATTAGCCAGTAGCAATCTATAACAAAATATGTTATAAAATATATGCCTATGCTCAATAAACTACAAATAAACTATAAAAAAACTGTTACAATTAAATGAATAATCACTTATTTTAAGTTGGTACTTGTCACATACATATGCAATGATGATTTCTGGGTGATATGTATGTTGGTGTTATCTAATGTCAAGTCTCTATTAAATCATGTGATGGTAAGATTATACGGTAGCTAGTTTAGGTGCACACTAGTGTGCCAAAGGGCCCGCCATGACAGCGTGCACTGGGCCTGTTGTAACTGCCTTAACCCTGCAACTACGACAACTGGTTCATGAAAAGGGACATGGCAAAATGGTATGTGTGTATGTGTATGTTTGTATGTATGTGTCTTCCACTCCCACTGCCCCCCACACCCTTTAAACCAGCAGGCATAAACACAGATACACAGATACACACTTGACCTCCGTGCCAAATTTCACCCTCCAAGGACAAAAGCTGTAGCTGCCAAAGTGCAGCACTTTAATCAATCTACTGTTATAGTCTTTCATTTCTTTTCATTACATTGGTTTTTAATAGAGCTGGAACTTCAACTTGCGCGTTAAGACTTCGCACCATATCTGTCAGTAGCAGCTATTTTTCTATTTTCTCTGATGCCCTGTGCTGTTAACTCTCTGGCCAATCACACAGAGCCCTCACCAGTAGGCTTCATCTGATTGGTCAGAATCTGCAGCATGTGAGGGAGTTCAGTTAGACTGCCATACTACTCTGCATGGTTAGTCAGTGCAAATGACAAAGAGGAACTGGTGCCTAAAAAATATCATGCCATCAACAATATTTTTGACGCTGAAAGAGATGATGTGGCACAAACACAGGTTCTGTGCAAGTCTGAGTCAAGAACTTAGTCCACTTTAATACGTTTATTTGTCACAATAATTACAATATTTATGTTGTTGCATATCAGTGTTTCCTTCATATCATGCAGCCCTAGTTTTTAACAGGTATTATGGCTGCAGAAATGTCTAACAGTTAATGTCAGGGCAATGAGACACTGCTACAACTGTAAGGTTTACTTAAATCACTTAAACCATGTCTGATTATATACAGCATGTGTATAAAGAAATTAAATTCCTGTATCATGGGACAGTTGCTGCCAAACCTACACGCTGCAGATTTGATACAGAAATTATAAAGCATGTAACAGAGGCGATCCTCCGAGCCACAGCTCCATTAATCCTGTCCTTGTCTAGACAAAACTTGTTGGATTAGTCTAAATTAGATTAAATCTTAAAAAAATAGACACTGTTGGTATGTTATTGTGCTTTGTAGAGACAACATATCACTTCTTGAACACTAGAGGTCTCTGTTGGACCTCAAATCTGCACGTTGCTGCATGTTTCCAACATTCTGCATTGCACAAAGGAGCTCATAGTAACTGCTGCTCATAAAGCCCCTGGGTAGATGTACATCATAGTAATAGTGTACATACATTGAAAGCCCTGGCAGTGTGTTTTATTGCTAAAGCACCATATATGACACAGGTTAGAGGCACTGACGATATTGACTGTTTAATGAGTATTGTCAGTCATTCCCCAAGGTTATGGTTATGATACAGACACAGCTCTACTGATGATGAATCTTTAGGGCCAGTTACTTGTGTCACTAATAAACACATAAAAGAGGTTTTTTGCACAGGGAAAGTGTCGCCAACGTTTAAAACCAGAATGCTATATACAGTATACTTACATTTACCATTTGGCTTGGGTTAGCAACACCATACCCTGCAGATGTGTGCTCTGATTTTGCAGACAGCCACAATAATGTGTAGGAACTGCAGGTTCTTAGGCCCCAGTTAATCTGAGCAGCCCATCAGTCCCTGCAGCGCCGCAGCAAAGACTCCTGCCCTCAGCGAGAAACTCTGAGCTTCCTGTGTTTGTGTGAAGTTTCCTACTCATGAAGTACTTCAGCACCTTATTGTGAGGCTTCGTGCACATGACTCTGCTATTACTTTCACAATGATTAAAGACAAACATGCCAACATGCATCATAAATTTTCTCGCACTGCCCTAGGAGCTAGAAACACAATACTGTAGTCTCTTAATGGATACAGCATTGTACAGAAGTGCAATGATTGTGGCTCTAATAATGGAAGGAGAAGGTTTGAAAGAAAAATGGGATTAAGGTGAGAGGACAGAATGTGGAAGGAAAAGGGCAAAGATCAGGGACAACAATAGGAAAATAAAATATAGTTGTCCAGGAATTAACTGTTGTGACAAAATCATGGAATATAGCTCTCACTTGGAGAAACTCCCTGTCAGTGACGTACGATTAGCGTTTCTGGTTATCGTGCGCCTGGGAAAGGTTTCACCTCTTTGTTTTTTTGCACCAATAACATTTTGAGCCATTGCAGGGTAAAGCAATTAAAATGCCTGCCAGGCTATTTCAGGGGTGCTAATGTTGCTGTTTGCCTTAGTTGGTCTTGCTGGGACACACTCTTTACATGCATGACACATCACAGGGCCAGGAAAGCGTGACAGCATCACCTATAGAGTGCCTTAGCTCCTACTGCACCCAAGAAACAGAGCTATACCACACAAATGCACTGCACAGCACACTACAGTAGCCTCTCTGCAGTGTAGTAATGAAATAGTTTGCTATTGTTTGATTTCTGACACTGAATTCTCAAATATTCCCCAAGGGAGAATCAAATCTATCAGCATTAGCAGCCGTGGTCAGATTAGGTGTGTGTTGATGAAGGATTTAGATAAGAGCGAGTGTGTGAGGCCAGCGCTGAGCTCTCACACAGGGACGGCTCGTCTTAATGGGACCGGGGTCTTATCAGAGGAATCAGAGGAGCTCCCTGAAGTTCACCTCAGTTTAATCACAGGCTTTCGGATGACACTTATACAGCCCTGTGATGTACTGGAAAGTGGAAAGGACCATTCACTTTCATAGGAGGGAAGATTGTGGGTAATGAATCCAGTGACAAACAGATGAAGAAAAATGTGTTACTATTCTGTCCAGGGAGCGCTGATGAGTCAGTCTCTGAGGCAGCCCAATCGCCAGAATAAATGTTGACACTGTATGTTTCTGCAAGCTATGCATGTGTAACATTTGTACACATTATTTAGTGGATATGTTGACATTTTACGCTTCTTTATGTTTCAACTGTGCTGCAGTTAACATGTGGTTATATTTAGGCACGAAACCA